AAATGCCCGACAAGCCAGGTGGGCTCTGTTCTTTACCAGATTCTGCTTCACCATCACCTACAGGCCCGGCACCCGGAACGTGAAACCTGATGCCCTTTCCCGCCAATTCACCACCTCAGAGGACCCCACCCGTGAGGCTCCCATTCTCCCTCCCACGTGCGTTATCGGAGCCCTGTCATGGGAGATCGAGTCTGCCATACGGGAGGCCCAGCGGGTGGAACCGGATCCAGGTACTGGTCCCCCGGGTTTGCTCTTTGTTCCCACGTTGGTTCGCTCACGAGTATTACAATGGGCCCACGGCGGAAAACTCACCTGTCATCCGGGCGTTCATCGCACCGTCACCTTCATCAAGCGGTTCGCCTGGTGGCCTACACTGGCCAAGGACGTCCAGGACTTCATCGCTGCCTGTCCAACCTGTGCCCAGAATAAGCCAGTCAAGCAGCCTGCTGCCGGCCTACTTCATCCCTTGCCTACACCAAGCCGCCCCTGGTCCCACATTGCGGTTGACTTTGTCACTGGTCTTCCGCCGTCATCAGGTAACACAGTCATCCTCACTGTTGTCGACCGTTTCTCTAAAGCTGCCCATTTTGTCGCTCTCCCCAAGCTCCCCACTGCCCTGGAGACCGCCCGGCTTCTGTCAACTCATGTGTTTCGCCTCCACGGGATACCTGCTGAAGTGGTCTCGGACCGAGGCCCGCAGTTCACGTCACGTGTTTGGAAGGAGTTCTGCGCCTCCTTGGGGGCCCAGGTCAGTCTCTCGTCAGGTTTTCATCCACAGACCAACGGTCAAGCGGAGCGGGCCAACCAAGACCTCAAAACGGCTCTCCGTTGCTTGACGTCCACTAATCAGACCACCTGGAGTGAGCAACTGACGTGGGTGGAGTACGCTCACAATAGCCTTACCTCGTCGGCCACAGGCGTCTCCCCGTTCGAGGCCTCCCTGGGGTACCAACCTCCCCTGTTCCCTGCCATCGAAGGTGAGCACTTTGTGCCCTCTGTTCAGCAGCACCTGCGGCGGTGTCGGCGCGCGTGGCAGGTCACTAGAGCTGCCCTTCTTCGCACGGCGGACCGGAACAAACGGCAGGCGGATCGCCGCAGGTCCCTGGCGCCGGCCTACTCACCTGGACAGAGGGTTTGGCTCTCGACCCGGTATGTGCCTCTCAGGACTGAGTCGCAGAAGCTCTCCCCCGCCTTCATTGGCCCGTTCGAGGTGGACTCTATCGTTAACCCCGTGTCTGTGCGTCTCAGGCTCCCCAGGTCCATGCGTATCCACAACGTGTTTCATGTCTCGCAGATCAAACCTCACTGTTCCAGTCCTCTGTGCCCTCCTTCCGGACCCCCTCCGCCCGCCCGGGTCGTCGCTGGCCGTCCGGCCTTCTCCGTGTCTCGGATTATGGACGTCAGGCGCCGGGGCCGTGGCCTGCAGTATCTTGTGGACTGGGAGGGCTATGGCATTGAGGAGCGTTCTTGGGTCCCGCGGGCGGCTCTGCTGGACCGGGCCATGGTTCGGCGGTTCCATGTGGCTCACCCTGGGAAGCCTGGGGGTCACGACCTGCGGGGTCGGCAAGGCACTGATCAGCAATCTCTCTCCCCCTCCCCTGTTTTGCCGGGGCGGAACTCTTGGCGGGTTCACGCTCTCGGCCCACGCCCTCCCGGATCATGCACACCTGGGCCTCATCAGACCAGCTGGTATATCAGAAGGAGGAGATCAGCTGTTCAACGCTGGATTGTTGTGAAGACTCCTGTCAGTACACGTCAAGCTCTAGTGTCCCACACTTCCGCCTCAGAAAGTAACCGTTGTCTCTCTGTTTTAGATTCCCCGGACCCGTCCCCGTGTTTCCCCGTGTGGAGCGTGTAAGAGGTGGCTGGTCACTACGGAGAGAGGTTGGCGTGAGCGTGTGTGTGATTCCCTTGTTTTCCCTGGAGCCCTGGAACCCGTCCTCGCACATCTTGTATATAGCACTGTCCTCGCACTGACTGTAAATACACTTGGTGAAGATTTTGTGAATAAACTGTCTCTGTTTCAACACACTTCGGAGTCCTGCGAGTGGATCCTCAGAGCAACTCGCCTGTAGCTACACCTGTAGAGAGCCTGTCCCACAGCTTTAGTCTGCTGTCTTCAGACGACTGGTAAGAAACGTAGTAAGGAGACATTAAATACTGCACAGAAACAGTGCTGCATAATGTGGCTGTGTTATTTGTGGTGTTCCTGAAGTCGTGTTCAATGTTGTGTTGTGTAAATACAGGATTAAGAAAAGACAGGGGTTGCAAACTATTCAGTCTCTGGCAAAGCACCACTCGGACATCCTGAAGACTAAACTGCATGAAGTGTGTCTGGTCCTCATTGAGGAGGTATTGCACACTTTATGTTTCTTATGTGTTTCATGCAGCTAGTTTCCCTTCAAGTGCATACTACAGCCTCAACTGATGATTTTCACTCACATTTTAGGTGAAAAACCAACGCTCAGCAATAGCCTTTGAGGCCATACATGCCATCAATGAGCTCTACATTCAGCTCCAGAGAACAATGGACCCAGAAGTTGAAACAACAGGCCGAGCTCTATTGCTGAAGCTTGCACAGACCAACAACAACTTTCTTCATCAGGAGGTCAATCTGGCGCTTGATGCCATGGTGGAAAATTGCAGCCATGGACGGATTCTGAGCGCTCTGTTTAACACAGGACTGACGTAAGAGGAGAGAAGAAGCTGTAGTGATTTTATTAGAAGACATGAAAGAGAGATCATGTTCACTGAGTTGTGTGTCTAATTATTGTCCTTGCTCAGCCATCGCTGTGTTGCAGTGAGGAATAGCACGGCTCAACACCTGCACCAGCTGGCTGACAAACTTGGAGCAGCCGTCACCCTGAAAACAGGAACCTTCACTGAAAGATTTCTAATTGCTGCCTCTAGAATGGCAGGGGATGCTGCACCTGAAGCCAGGTGGGTACTTTTAAATGGATTTGAAGTGCATCAATGTTTTATTTTCTGTGAGTTTACACAATTAATGAAAATTAATGACAACTGTAATCTTCCACAGGTACCATGGGCGAACAATCATTGAGAAACTGACCCTTCACAAGGACTTTATGAATTTGTGGATGAAGATTGTCCCTGAAAAAGACAGGCGTCCTGTGGAGAAGAGCCTGAAAAAGGCTAATAATTACAGGCAGCGGGTCAGCATCCAGACAGGCTCTCCTCTCCAGAGGGAGCCGAGGTGAGATGGGAGGTGACAATGCAAGGGGTCCTGACAGCTCAGAGGAGAAGAAGGTGCTGCTACAGAGCAGCAGCACCTGACTAGCTTGGGAAAAGCTGGTTGAAGGGAGAGCTTTACTCCTGCAAGATCATCCATCATGCCACAACAGTCCCAGTCCCTGAGCAGGAGTAAACTTCTCCATCTTCAGGACTACAAACTATTTCTCTGAAGGACAATATTATTTAGATTTACATTAATTATTATTCATATCTTATATTCATTATTTGTATTATTTCATTATTATTATCACATTTTTAAGATCCTGAATGGACAATGAATGAATAAATCCCTTTTTTTTTCATCTGAATTAAAATGGCACTTTGGTTGGCACATATACAGTTTCTGTTTTTCTGTCAACAAATATTAATACATTCTTAGTTCTCTTGTTTTCATTTTTAACCCATGATTTTGCATTTTTATCAGGATTCAAAGTCATTTTTATAACATAAAGAAATATTAAATAAATATTAAAAAGTATAGAAACATTTTGAAAAGAAATGAAAATGATTGGGTAGTAACCGTTCTTTTTTTTTTTTTTTTTTTTTTTTTTTTTCCAACACAAAGGTTGTAAAATGTTAGCTTTATTCGAAAAAAGTGGTTAGATGCTTGTTCAGAGTCCAGCAGGTGTTTGTTCAGCCACTTAATGACTTTGAATCACTGTGGTGGACTTCTTGTGGAGGAACCAAACTCATCAGTGGTTATATGTACACAAATCTATCAAGAATATAACTGCAGCAACAAGACATTTAGTCTCAAGTATCAGAACTTTTATAAATCTATATTAATAGATGATGTCTGCCAAAACTTAACACCAAAATAAATCAACAGTTCACTGCGTTCACTTTAACATTGTGTTACATTCATGTTATTTAAAACATCTTTGCAGACAATAAGGTTTTTATTCAGCTCACAAAAGAAAATTGATGAACATTAATAAGGCTCATAAGTAGAACTGTGAGGTCACTTTTCATTTCCCTTCAATTCCTTTGTATAAAGTGCAGGTTTTGCAACTTTAGAAAAATAGTTGCATATTTGGAAAACATTTTTTTACTTGGTTTGTTGAATTTATTCATGAACAAAAACTTACATATGTTACATAAATATTTAAATTCAAGTAAATGCTGCATCTAAAATCCATGACTTGATTTAATTTCTTTCATTCATTGTGTTTCTGCTTGATGACTCTGGTTGTCTTTAGTGGACCAATTATTCTCATCAGTCTCTTCATTAACAATCTGCACCTGCAGCCTTCAGTCAAAGTGAACGATGTGTTTTGTAAAGCTATAAATTACTGTGTGAACACTCCACCATCATGCCAACACAGACAGTAATAATCTGCAGCAACACAGAAAACCCAACATGACAGTTATTGGAAAAATCATCCTGATGAGGTTTTCTGTGTGAGTCCATTAGAAAATCTTAAAATCTGAGGAGTAGTAAGACATAAAAATAATTATTTATTTATTCATCTAATTTTATTATCGTTCATTTTATCTATTAGACTTAGAAAGGATGCTGGAATAACATAAAAATAATTAAACATATGTAGCCTCAGGATCCTTTAACCTACCACATGAATTTTTCCTTTCGTACATTAGGTTGACAGTAATGATAGTCAGTCATGTGATTTTTGTGAGAACCACAACTTGTCAAAAACTTCTCCTGCTGGCTTCCAGCAACATGAACAACTATCTTAATATTAATGAACTATTAATGAAACTTGCTGTGGTTATGGGCAAATGTTTGACTTGTTTCCTGTTTTTACTCTAAACTGACACAACAGGCTCCTCATGTGTCTCTGCTCTCTCCTCCTCCAAGCAGCTCTCTGTGACTCAGCAATGCTGCATTTCATTTTAAAGATGAGCAGAAATAGATTAGAGACATTTTATACCTTCAAATCCGCTCTTCTACAAAAGCACTTAAGTAACAAAAAAAACCATGAGAAAAATGCAAATGAAATTTGAACGTTTTGGAGAGAGGTGGACAAACCTCAGATCAATTTTCAGTGTTTATTCTAAGCTGAACTAACAAAGTCCTCATTTGTCTCTGCTCTCACCTCCAGCAGGGCTCTTTGCTCCCCCAGTGATGATAAACCGTCAAGACAGGAGTTGAGTGTGAGATAAGCAACCTGCTACTCTTAGCAATATGAGTTGTAAGGTTGGAACAAACAGCACTGCTGTACAGAGTTGGCAACATCAACTTAGAGGGTGATATGTAACTTAGCTGGTGGGTATGGATGTTGTTAAATGGTAATAGTATGATTATTACTGCAAATACAGCTTTTAATGATGAATAAGATTATCTTTGGTCTTTCAGATATAAATTTGTTGAAATAAAAAAAATCCCAACTGTAGATTCATTATTTTGACAATGATCAAGAGAAAATCAGTGTTTTTTATTCATTATACAGGTGGCAACATACAATGATAAAAATCTTAAAACAGATTGTTTTTTTTATCATTACCAAGTAGCTTAATACAAATATAAATATAAACATTTATGCTTCACCTGTTTATACAAACAGCAAAACTCTTCATGTGAATGTAATGTAATTATTCAAGTAATGTAATGTTAACAGAAAATGACTTGATCACAGCAGATGTTTTTAAAATTCTTATTTCGAAATGCCTCAATAGACATGACGTGTTTAAATTAATTTCTTTATTTAGTGCTTGGTGAGGTTACTGCTCTGTGTTCACTGGTCTGTGTCAGAGTCTCTCCTACTTCAGCAGCTGCAGTCACAGCTCAGAGTCTCTGCAGTCTGACTAAAGGAGGTTTTTGTATGACTACAAATCATTGTGTGAACACTGGCCCGCTATGCACACTCTTACAGTAGTAAACTGCTGCATCTTCAGCCTGAACTCCACTGATGGTCATAGAGAAGTCAGATCTGCTTCCACTGCCACTAAATCGAGATGGTGTTCCTGAATGACTTATGCTTACATGTCGAATTAGGAGCTTTGGAATTTGTCCAGATTTCTGTTGATACCAGAACATACACTGACCAGCACCACAGCCACCAACAGCTTGGTTGGTCCTACAGGTCAGGGTGACAGTAGATCCAGGAGTAGATGTCACTACTGGAGGTTGAGTCACAGTCACCTGACCGCTGCATCCTGCAGACAAAAACAAATCATTCATTTATCAGCAGAAATCAATGAGAGAAAAAGCAGCACATCATGTTTGAAATGTTGCTGAGTGAATGAACCTGTAAAACAGCAGCAGGTCAGCGTCCAGATGAGGATGGTGATGAGAGTCATGGTGGTTGTGCTTTCTGCTGTGTTGACTGACAGATGTGAGTCCTGCAGTGTTGAAGTCACAGGACTATAAACCTTCTCAGTTCTCTGGAGGATCAGCTGATGATGCAAAGCCTCCTCTCTATGGAAATCATTTCTCTGCTCTCAGCACACTGAAGGCAACGAGGGACGCAAAGTCAGAAGAAAAATAGTTTGAACTAATACTATTATACATTATACAAACTTTAATGATACCACTGACTTTTTATGTAATGGAGGAAAATATAAAGAAAATATAATTCTGCATTTTTAATATCTGGATTAAAACAGCACTTTGGTTGGTCAGCTTACTTCATACTTTTGGTAACAGACATTGCGCCTCTATTGTTGTTCTAAGTATATTGCCAAAATCTCATAATTCGTGTTTTAGCATTTTACAGTTTCTTAGCTTTTCTTTTTCTTTTTTTTTTCTTTTTTCATTCTTTCATTCACCGATTTATTTCTTTTCCTCAGACCACGCCGGATCTGTTAATATCAACAACGCTGCACGCTCAGAATTGTACAGCTGATTCTTCCCTTCAGACCGCACCGGATCTGTTACTTCAGCACAATAAACACTGATTTTCCTTCAAAATCAGTTTACCAAGAGCCACAAAACCATTTCTGACTTGATTTTCTGAAATTCTGTGTCACTTAAACATCCTGACCGCACCAGGTGTTTTCTGTCGGACTTCCTCGTCCGAAATTACTGTTTTTACTCACAAACAAGTGTATCTCAAAATGATCTTCTGATCATAGCTATTCCTGAGGCCACAAATGTCAGCAGCGCCACCTGAGTAAAATCTTAGTAAACGTCCTTACCAAGGAGGACGTTTTTCAACTTCGTGACCAAACACTTATTGAACCATAAACTGACCAATAACTCTATATTCTCTTATTCTTTAATCACACATTGGTCTCTTTTCTCTCCTATTTCCTCATAACATCTCATGTTACTTTTATCTCAGTACTGTCTTTTTCTCAAAGTTTCATTATCCTTACTTCAAAGCTTCTCATTACGTCAAAGTTCCCCTTCATTACAGTGTTAATGTTATGCTAACATAGCTGTTTCGCTAGTCACATAGCACATCACTATATACCAGCTAGCCAAACTTCAGTAACCCTACAAACATCACTGCTGCTCCTGGTTTCATGTATGTCGGAAGTGATAGCAGAGCTGTGCCTTTTAATTTGTTTTAGAAATCCCTCAGTCAGAACCTGGTATATTATATTTAGATGGAAACTAGCGAGCTAACTCTCTGCTAACTTCTAACTCCGTTACATTTCCGTTACTGCAAGTGTGGCTGTGCACGGTGTGGACTTTAAATATACCACTGCCTCAGAGGGCAGTGGCTCGAATCCCATGCAGACCATATATTGGGGAAGTGTATGGAAGCCCGTTTCCGCCACTAAAAAAAAAAAAGGATCCATAACTCAAAATTTCGAGTTTTTTTCTCGAAATTTCGAGTTATTTCACAGGGAAACTTGAACATTCCCACGTGTGTTCTGATCAAAACAGTGCAAGAATGAGCTCTTTAGCTTTGGATTTACAACTTATCCACATTTCTTTGCGGACACTCCTGCATGTCACAAATACATTGCACAAAGCGCATCTGTGGCTGTGTACCATTCGTGGTGCGTTGGCTCCCTCTACTGGTACGCGCCTCATTAAAATGTCGCCACACATTTAAAATTGCAGGGTGTCTTTACACTGTCATAGCTCCTAGATAGATTTCTTCAGAGACCTGAAAATCGCTGTGATTATTCACCATAGCCTGCTGAGTCTTACAGTGAAAGAACGATGTCAACGTATAGCATCGTTGGTTACTTTAATTATATTTGTTTTTTTAAATCAAATCCTACAAAACAGGACCATTGTGACACAAAACCTCTCACACACTAACACAAACTCTTTATACAGATACAGAGCTTTACATGTATAAATAAGGCAGACAAAAATGCATAAAACACAAGCTATCCACAGACTGTCGGTGGACGCCATGTCACTTTATTTTGTTTTTATCTTGTTTCTTTTTGGTGTAGCCTCATTAAACAAAATGTTTATAAAAATGACCACTTTTATTATGAATTATTATGAAATTAATAATTCATTATTAATTATTTATTATGAACACACCTGCCACCCTCAAGTAGAGGTGGCAGAGAGGAGGCACTTGGAGTTTCGGTCGAGAAAGTGTCCGTGTGACTGAGTCCTGTCCCAGCTCTGCTTCAAGGTCTGTCGGTCCAGCTTGTTGAGGGCCTGAGAGCAAAGACGGATATCCTGGACCAGCTCTGACAAACTGTCCAGGTCTTGACTCTCCCAGGGGCCAGAGACCTGACAACCTGCAGGTTAAGCAACAAAGAACATTTTATTTCATATCCATAATGTCCATTTTCCCCCCTATAAATATTTGACATCCAAATGTAGCCTTAGCTAGCATCCAGCAATGTTTTCTGCTCCATAAAATGGAAAATTAATTCACAACTAATCTTTTTTTTTTAATCTTTAAACCACACTTCTATATTGTAATGTCTGTGTGTGTACTCACCATGTAACACCTCTGTGCATACATACTAAATGTTCAAACTTAGAAATGTGTCAAAAGGAAACAGACTGATAGCAAGAAACAAACTGTTGCCAAGTACAACTTTGCACAGGTGATAAAAACATCAAAGAAATCCAAATTGTGAATTAGTGTGAAACTCCATGTCCATGGAGTATCTCCAAGTTCACACATATGCATACCTTCGAGGTTTAGAAGTGTCAGTGGTCAGAGCAGCACCCTGAGCCTCTCTGCAGACCAGTGGAGGAAGGCAGGCTCAA